TCACGGCAGAGAGCCGTGACAGGATCGAGAGGTGAGCGAACCTGGTATGTGTTCCCTCACCTCCCGATCTACTGAGCCGACCTGTGACAGTCTCATTGTCACAGGTCGGCTAGAACTATGAGGTGAGTGGAAATCACTCGCCTCATACTTCTCCTTTAAGTCACTTGCACGGTTTGAGTCTGCTCAGTTGCATGTTCTGAATTGCTAGATATATTTGGCTAAGCCTTTTCTTTTATATACTTGCCCTGCTGATCTAATTGTGTTTCCTTTTAGGCTTTGTATAAGTTAAGCACTTTAAAACCTGAGCACACAGGGCATCAGAGTTGTCATTCCTGCAAAGCAACCCCATCCAGGAACACATCTCATAATCCAGAGGAGAAAGAGATTCAGAAGTTGCTGAAACTCCTCGAATGGCCGGAACCTCCCATTTCCATCGGTTTCATGTCATCTACCAGTCCCAAGACCACAGAGTACTCATTGCTGGATCCACGTACTACATACCAAGTGGGGGAGCATGTAAAGGTTTTCATCAGAGCTCGAGACCACTATGGCCAACCCAAAACCTACGGGGGGGATTATTTCCAGGGCAAGCTTCACTCTCCGCATCTGAAGGCTGGAGTAACCGGATCCATCACCGACCACAGAAACGGCAGCTACACCGCCACCTTTCTCTTTCCATGGCCCGGGGTCTGTCAGATCTTTATCTCACTCATCCATTCCAGTGAGGCCGTCGCCATCCTGAGGAAGAAGAGAGACACCCGCCCTGATAAGGTGAGAACTAAGCTTTTTATTACTGAGGAACCTCTGTATCTGTGTGTTCCCAGAATTCTTTGCACTGACCTTGCACCTCCCGTAGTGTTAGTACTCCCAGAAGTCCATCAGGTCATAATGGCCTCTATAGACGTTAAGTTTTTCCTATTTCCTGTGCAGAGGACTTTTTTAGTATTCCCAATGCTAATATGGTCACTGTGACTTCATTTTACTGAGCCTGCAATAATTTCTCTGTGTTACACCCAGGGCCGGATTTACTCTCCCTGCCGCCCCAAGGCCAGGTTTCCGCAATACGCCCCTCCCATCAATGGAGAGCCAGATGGCAGGGCGGCGGGGTTAGTTTCAATTTTTTTTTACCATGTCTTTATTTTTTTAACTTTTATATCACTTTAAATTTTTTATTCAATTATTTCTACTTATTTCTTTAATTTTTATTTATTTAATTATTTTTATATCAATTACATTTTTAATCCGATCTTCTTCTTTCCTGTAGTTTTCCTGTAGCCTTCTCTCCAGTGGTGCGGCGTCTCTCCGATCCAGCGCCGACTCCTCTGTCCTTGCTGGTACTTCCTGTCCCACGGTGTCTGCGAGCGGGTGCACGGCGTCCATAGACTTACCTTGTGTCTCTCCTCGCGTCCCGGCCGAAAATCCGAACTGCGCATGCGCCCGCCCCAAGATGCTTTGCGGCCGCCCGAGCATTTTCGGATTTTCCGACGGGAGCGCGCGGGGAAGACACAGGTGAGCTTAAACCCCTGTTAAAGCGTTTTTGTTTTGTTTTTTATACACTTGCTAGCAGTAGATATATGCAAAAAAAACCGGAGGGTTTAGAAACCCTTTAAGGTGACAACGCTCTGTCCCCATTTCCCAGTTGTCTCCTTGTGTTGCCGTCCTGTCACAACGACTTCTGATGGAGATCACAACTGCTCATTTCAACACACATTATGCAGGCATGGTGCACTTTTGTCACCATCAGGAAAAGGAATGGGCGAGTCTGTGTGGGTTCGATCCAACAAGGATACAATAAATCGTATTTGAAATTCTGCAGACCCGAACTTGGCAGCGAATCCCACTGAAATATATAGGCGGTGAATCATGTTATTACATTCTGGCTATTTATAGGGTTAATAGGAAAACTACTTTTAAAAAAACATGGGAGGCTGGGATTCCCCCCTCCCCTCTCTGTTACTCCAATGCTGATTGGAGGAAAGGATGGGTAGGGGGTGGACACAGCTGGCTCTGCCTCTAGAGCTGTCAATCAGGTAGCGGGTTGGACCCCAACAATATTGTCGGGATCCATCCTGGCTGCAGCGCGGCTCTGCGTTGTCAGCATATAGCGGGGCAAAAGCCCAGCAGCAGGAAAGTTTTAATCTGGGATAATAGGCCAAAATGTACTAGTGACAAAGAGTACAGGCTGGGGCTTTACTATAAGAATTAACCCCTTCATGACTGAGCTTGTTTTCAGTTTCTGTTCGTAAATGACTGAACGCACTTTTTACATTTGTGCTGTGTGATTCTTCCACGTCAGCAATATACTTTCTTACAAAGTGCAGCCACACATATTATATATTGTTATTAAGAGAACAGATAGAGTTATACACTGAGTGGCCAGATTAGTATGACCACCCCATCAGTACTTGGTTGGGCCGCCTCGTGACTCCACGAGATGGTGGAAGGTGATGCGAGGAATCTGACACGGCACTATTGCCCTTCTGTTGTCTTGTACCGGTCTTGCCCCTCCCCCGTTCTGCTCTAACATTGACTAGTCGCTGACGGCCACAATTCGCACGCTCAGACCCAGATTTTCGGCTGACAGTCCGGACTTTAAACACTTTAACAATGAGACCCTCTTGAACATGTAACGAATTCTGCTGTTTTGCTGATACTCGCTCCATGGCTCCGAGCGCCAACAATCACCCCGCGTTCAAAGGCTGTTAAATCGCGTTGTTTCCCCGTATCTTCAGAAACAAATCACTTCTACTGTCGTGGTAACCAACCCGCTTCCCTATTTATAATGGTCTGGCCCTCTAGCAACTTCAGCGCCAAATTATAGCTAATTTGCCTACAAACGTCAGGTGGTCATAATAATCCGGCCACTCAGTGTATATTGTATGTTAGAGGACAGATAGCGCTATATATTTATATCACATATGTGTACCTAACGCCTCACTTAGGATAAATAAAATATAAAAAAGAGGAAAAAAACGTAAAGAAAACACTTTTTCCCCAGTTTTGATTTGTAGTACTTTTAACAAAAACAGCGCAGCTAAAAAAATACGATAAATACATTCATTTATTTGTCCTTTATTTGGAAAAACATCGCATCCCGAGGATTTTATAAATGTTTCTGTACTACTAAAACTAAAACCTAACATTTTAATCTTTTTTTTCCTAAAAGCTAAAGCTACGTCACCTGGCATACAATGTCACTGTCACTAAGTGTCACACTCAGTGACAGCGACATACTTTGAACATCACTGTCATGAGGGGGGGTAAAAAAAAAAAATTAACCCCTTAGGGTGAAAAACAAATTCATTTTTTATTGTAAAGGGTTCATTTTTATATAAATATAAAAATTATTATTATTATTAAAAATTATATAAATGATAGTATAAAAATATATTTAAATATATCAATTTAATTTGTTACATTTATTTTTAGTTGTTACATTAATTTTTTTTATTTTTTTACACTTTTTATTATTATTTATTTAATGATATCAAGCAGTCCTTGTGAATGAATCTCACTATGACTGCTTGATAAATGAATCAATTAATTTTTGGTTATTATTAGGCTGCTTCAAACTTCAGAACCGCCAATAATAACCTTAGTGAGGCTGATCATGCAGCATTTCCGGATCAGCTGTCACTAAGGCCTCATTCACACTGCCGCGCACATACGCGCGTGCGTGTGTATTGTAACATATGCAACACATGCAAATAAATAGCTCCATACACACAGCCGCGTATGGAGCCGTATATTTGCGTAGCGTATATATGCGCAAAAACAGAATGGAACAGAGATGCGTCCGGGCAGCGTATTTCTGCGTATTTACGCGCACATACGCGTGTTTACGTATACGCGCGTACAGCACATTAAAAAATCCATTACGAGTGATGCATTCTGGGATTGCATATAGTGCACGCATATACGCTCGTATATATGCGCATAGTCGCGTATATATACGCAATATACAATTTTGCTTGCGTTGTGTGTGAATGAGGCCTAAAGGTTTTCTGATCGTTACTACAACAATCAGAAAACTGAAACATTCTTTCAGGAAGAGATATATTATGTTTCTATTCTTGAAAGTAGAAAAAAAAATCCGGTATACATCGAGATCTCTCGATTTATAGCAGCTGTCAGAATGCCGGCAAGAGCCGGCGGATGCCGCTCTGCTTTCACTCTCAGACACCCGATTCTTGAAGGGGATCGGGTGTCTGAAAAATGTTAACTCTTTCATTAATGGATGCCTCTACACCGAGGCATCCATTAATGAATGGTAACCGCGGTTACCAGCCTTGGAGAGCAGCTAATAACTCCTCACGTACAGTGTACGTGACGAGTCATTTGGTCCCTTTGTGGCGGGACGTACAATGTACGTCTCCTGCCACACCACAAAGGGGTTAAGATACTGCAGAGGATACAGCCGTGTAAAACTGGCCAGCAGCAGGACAGTTTTAATAAGGATATAAGGCCTAACTGGTGTATGCCTAATTTTTATTTTATCTATGGGGATGGGGGGTGGGGGAGGTGCAGTGAGTGATAGAATATGAGGTGGTTTAGGTGCACTATTTTTTTTCTTAGAAGCAATGCAGAGGTGTAAAAAATGTAGCTCCAAATACAGCTTCAAGTAAGCAACAACTCATTACTTTACTTTAGGCACCCAATATTTAAAAAAGGTCCTATCGGTATGAAATAAAATTCAGAACCCCTCCTAAAAACAAAATAGCGAATCCTAAAATATCACCCCTGGATGGGACAGCAGTTAAAAATAACTGCTGACCTTAAATCCACCCCAAAATAGAAATAGATGGGAAAAAACCCAAAAACATACACAGACGAATGCTGCATATGGCAAATGTTGGTTTTTCCTTTTATTATTAGGACTCAGTGTAATACAGCAAGTACTAGACGTGTGATTTTTTTTTCCTGCATTGACGTTCAGACGATTGCATCCGAAACGTCAAAAATAACGAATCCGAACTTATACGAATTTTCCAATAACGAACATTTCTAGGGATGCACCGATACCGATACTAGTATTGATATCGGTGCCGATACCGAGTATTTGGGCGAGTACTCGCCCAAATGCTCCGATGCCTAGCCCGATACTTCCTGTATCAGGAAGCCGGGGAGCGCGTCATTACACTCCACCTGGCTTCCTGAATTGGATTCTGGTACTCCGTAATCGGTATCGGCGAGTACTGGAAAAAAAGTATCGGTGCATCCCTAAAAATTTCAATGCATCCGAAATTTATGTTGTTAAATGTTAAGATTTTTTTTAAAAACAAACCAGTGTGGCGTTCCCCACCCCAATTCATACCAGACCCTTTAGGTCTGCTAAGAATTTTAGGGGAAACCCCAGCGCCAACCCCCCCTCCCCCCACCACCACAAAAAAAATCCCTTATCAGACCCTTGATCCAAACAGCAGCCTGGCAGAGCAGGAAAGGGGGGCAGGAAAGGCCACATACCCTCAACATATGGAGGGTACTTTGCCGCTCCATGTAAACAGTAAGGGGGGAGAGCTGTGCTGTGCTGTGCTCTTCCTCTCTCACTTGTCACAGGAGTTCCAACACAGCAAAATCATGAAAATAAAAAAGTAAAAGATGACAAGATCAATAAAAATTTAAAAAAAGTAAAATACAAATAAGAAAAATAAATAAAGTGATAAAAAAGTTTTAAAAAAAGAAGAGGGGGAGGGGCGCATTGCGGAACCTGACCTTGGGGCAGCAGGGAGAGTAAATCCGGTCCTGCATACATGTATGATTTGATCATTTTCTATGCTGAGGGAGATTGTGCTCTGAGCTTTCACGTCTAATGCTGGGCACACACCTTACAACCATCGCAAGACTTTTGTCTTGCGATGTTGTAAGGTACTTAGAAAAACGTACGATCTGCCCATCTTGGACAGGCAGATCATACTTGCGATGATCGCAAGCCACGCCCCCTGAGGGGCGGGCTTCCGATGACCTGCAATGCTGAACGGGCAGTGTGCGCTTGCGCACACCGGCCCGCCCGGCTTTTATCTCACGAACATGCTAGACACCCGCCGAACATCGTACGACGCTCGGCGGGTTTGCAAACATGTTCGTAAGTTTAAAGTCGTGCGACCTTACAGTAGTAGAGGTCGCACGGCTTCACACCACCTTACGATAATCGTACGATCGCGGGATTTCCCGCGATTGTCGTACGATTATCGCAAGGTGTGTGTGGACCTTAACTCTGTCCATTCAGCTATGGGCTGTGCTGGACTGACTTCATCCACACATTTCCACGCACCTTCTCTTATTAGAAGCATTCTCACCTTGAATTTCCATGACTGGTGGTTCAGATTTGAAAACGAAAGCTTTGTTGCTGCTGCGGTACCGGCCATGTTCTTCAGTTGCTGTAGTCTCTTTCTGTTGCTGTATCTTATGCTCCTTTTCTTTTATGCTGTAACCGCGCTATAACTGGACTGCGACTGTGCCCGGGCCCATAACCTGATGGAACTTCTTGCACAGCCGCACAGAGAAACACAAGCACACGGGAAGGAAGCCGCAGCTTTATTTTCTAACTTATTCAATACAACAGAGTATATACCATAGATATAACAGAACTTATAAACACCGCCATCTAGTGACCGAAATGGTATACTGCAGAGGTTGTTGCCATAAGCACAGTAATGTGTATTCTAACAGGACTAAATTCCAAGTTTTCAATGTTCAGGTGTTTTATTACGGGTATTTCTACCATAACGGGAGATGGGCCACGGTGGAGTGTAATTTTCAGCCCCCTGGACGGGACGTTTGTACTTACCGTGATTCACACAGCGGAGAAGAATGGTTCTGTGTGCGTCCAGAAGGTTTTCCCTGCAGCGCGTACCTGGAGCATTCAAATGGCGGCCATCGCGAAATACTTACCTCTGCTGAGGGAAAGTTTCTACCCCGGTAAGTACTGTAGCTATTTACAGAGGCCGGTGCACCTTAGACGCTATAACAAGCGTATCATCATATTCTATCACTATATTTTCTCTTAGATCTCCTCCATATCAATTCTTTACTCCAGCGGAACTCCAATGTTGCTACTTTCATCCTAGAGATTAGTGATGAGCCGAACACCCCCTTTAGAACATGGGAAAAGTTCGTATTCGAACTCCAACTCAATGCAACTCTATGGGGGTAGAACATTGAAAAACAATTGTCCCCATTTTGAAGCCATCAATGCAAGTTAATTGCCATAAAAGGTGTATAGGGGTCCGGGTACTGCCCTGGGGGACATGTATGGGTGTCCGGGTACTGCCCTGGGGGACATGTATGGGGAGTCGGGTACTGCCCTGGGGGGACATGTATGGGGGTCCGGGTACTGCCCTGGTGGACATGTATGGGGATACATGTATGGGGATCCGGGTGCTGCCCTGGGGTACATGTATGGGGATTCGGGTGCTGCCCTGGGGGGACAGGAATCAATGAAAAAAAAACTTTTCACAAATACCATTTTTAAAGGAGCAGTGATTTTATCATTGCTTAAAGTGAAGCAATAAAAATGAAAAATTCCTTTAAATTTGGTGCCTGGGGGGTCCCCTTAACCTGCCTGTGAAGTGGCGGATCTGTACGATGTATAGAACCTGCTGCAGCAAATCTGACATTTCTAAAATCGGTGATTGATGGCCCTAGACTTATTGTTCTCACTGCGACGTTCGCGGTTAATTCTTTTTTATGTGTTACTTGTATGGTAACAGGCACCGCTGCCTGTTTTTAAATTTCTGCCGTTTCCTGCTCGCGCGCAACCAGCGGCGCGCGCGAGGGGTCGTGTCTGAGCGGACGTCTAAAGACGCCCGCTCAGGTCTAGAGAGCTCCGGAGAGAGAGTGGTTAAAGCGTGGGGTTCCCCCTCCCAAACAATACCAGACCCTTAAGGTCTGGTAGGAATTTTAAGGAGGAACCCCACCCCCAAAAATGGGGGGGGAGGAATTCCATACCAGATCCTTGATCCGGGCATAGGTCTGGCAGAGCGCCCCCCTTCCCTCCATACCGGGCCACATGCCCTCAGCCCTGGGAGGGTCGCCCCTGGAAAAGCACCTTGTCCCCGTACTGATGGGGACAAGGGACTCTTCCCCACAAGCCCTGGGGCGTTGGTTGTGGGGGTGCGGGCAGGGGGCTTATTCACACCAGGGTACCCCTAAAGGGGCACCTAGATGCGCCCCCCCTTGTGAATGAGTAAGGGGTACTTCTACCCCTACCCATTCACTAAAGAGTTTTAAAAAATGGATCCACCGACGTAATCCAGGGTCAATCACGCGTCCAGCGTTGTCCACGACGACGTCGACGACATAAAGAATACAAAAATAATAACATTTGAAAACGACGTCCGCCGCCCCGTCCGCTCGTGACGTACACCCGCCGCAGAATGGCATTCTGACAGATGCCGGCAAAGCATAATCAATTGGGCGGAGCTAGCGGTGACATCTAGCTCCGCCCAACTGTGTACAGTTTTATGTCATCTGACAGGTGAGCCTTGATTGGGCAAAGTCTTGCACCTGACCCTAGGGCTTCACAAGGCGCATTGGCTTGTAGGGCGTTCAGCAGGCGAACAGCCCGCCGACCGCCGTGATAGTTCTTATGTTCGGCGAACACACAAATTAGCGATCTTCGAGTCGAACTGACGTTGGGCTCGAACATCTGAGCCCAACTATAGAACTATAATGTGAGTCCCATTGGAGCCAATGGAAGGTGAATCTTGAAAATCAATTCTCTCCATTTTTAAGAATATTGATAAATAAAATAAAATGTATTTTTATTTTTTACTAATGATATAAATCAGAACTGTTCTGAAGTTTATTCATTTGATTTTTCTCTTCTTGTCATTTCTGACAGCAACATCACTAATCAGGTGGTTTCAACCCTCTCAGATCTAATAGTCCAGCCCCAGAAGGACACAACCGGTAAGACCAGATCCGGTAAGACCGTTCCCTCTGTTTGGGTTGTGGTCCTTATAAGGAGCGAATAAAACATGTTTACCATACAGAAAGCTCTAGAGACCAGGTGAGGAGTAATAAAGAGGTTGTGTACAAGGACTGTACAAGGACAATAAGCTGTTTGTACTGAGGAACTTCAGGACCCTGATGGGAGCCTGTCCGTTGGGGAAACACCCCAGAGTCCTGGGACTGTTAAACCTCTCTTATGAGCACCAGCCGTTAAAGGCGGTAAAACTGTTTATTTGTTTTGTGCTGAAGAAAGCAGATTGCTTTTTTTCTTTGTGTCATGGACGGTTCATGTTATTTTACTGTTTTGCTTGAAGGTCTGTGTCTTATGGTAAGACACACACAGTCCTGCTAAATACCCCTAAACAGGGGTGTATCTACTGCAAGGCAAACTAGGCATTTGCCTAGGGCGGCACTTTCCAGGGGGGGCGCCAAAAAATGCTGTCCCCCAAACCAGTTAGGTAAGATAATTTTTTTTTATATTATACAATATTCATAAATTACTGCCAGTACTCCTGGACCTTGTGCTTCTTTGACTGGGAGACCAACTTGTCCACTAATGCTGCCTACATATATGGCGGCTGCAGCTCCTTCCTCTTCCTGGTCACTGTGCTGGGCAATGTATTGGTGTTTGTGACCTTCGTCCGGTTGCATTGGCAGTTCGTGCGCTGGACCTCCCTGGGAAACCAGCACCCTAATCTCTTACTTCAGGCAGCGGAGGAGCTTCCGCAGGACCCCAGGGTCCAGATGGTTATCATGCTCATCGGCACCCCCGTTGGGGTGAGTCCGGGGAAGTGCAGCCTAAAAGCTCTGTGCAGGGTTATATCTCTAGAGCGGGGCAAGCTACAGAGCCCAGCGTCCAAGGCAGAAGATAGACAGCCCAGCATATTAAGGCAGATGATCGGTGTTGCAGCTGCAGAACTAGAGACTAGCACAGCATGGCAGGAGATAATGGTTATTGTAGCTGCAGAACTAGGGAGCCCATCAAGCCAGAAATGGAGAAGGTGGCTATTGCAAAGGTAGAACTAGAGCGTCCCGCTAGGTTGATAGCGCAACCTGTCAGAACCGTGCGCAATGTATCCTGCGACTGACAGGTTATTCAAAATGTAATAAACAGGAAGGGGTGGGACTAATTTAGATTAGGGATGGGAGGGCGCTCGGATTTAGTCTTGCCTAGGGCAGCACAAAACCAAAATACACCACTGCCCCTAAATATCACAGTAAGCCACCTATACCCACCCACTTCAAAATATAGAGTACATCATAATTTCAGCAAGTAGAGTGGCATCCCCACAGTTAAGGACCTGCAGAGATTTCAGCACCCCTGAAAAAAATGAAGTTTCAGTTTTCTTTAATGACAACGATAATTGAACTGCTGATGATTTGATGTTGTTTCAGATGACAGAGATATCTGTAGACCTGGTCTGTCAAATCCAGACCCTTCAGGGTTTTATCTCCAGCATAAGTGGCATTCCCGTGTCTGCAGGAACCAGAATTTCCCCACACCCGATAACGTCACGTCCTGCCTGAAGGGGAAAGTCGTGTACATGTTTGGGGACTCAACATTACGGCAATGGTGGGAATACCTTGTAGATTTTGTTCCTTGTGAGTTGAATGCTCAGTAAATATTCTTCTTTTACTTTCCATAATTTCCCTGGTCGTCTGCAAAGAGCTTCCAGTATTTCTCACGAATCACACTGCTCTTTCTTCAAAAGTATTTCAAAATTGAGAAAGGTCCCACAATCTACTGCATTTAATATACTCTTATCATGTAGGAGGATCGTCGGACAACCCTAACACTCTCTGCAACCACAACCCTACCACTAACTCTCCATGTAACCCAACACTAACCTTCCCTGTAATCCCAGTTGTAACACTAACCCTCCTTGTAACTCCAACCCTAACACTAACCTTCACTGTAACCCAACCTAAATCCCAACCCTAACACTAGCCATACATGTACCTCTAACTGTAACAATAGCCCTTTACATAACCCCAACCCAACACTAACTACACTATATTACCAAAAGTATTGGAACGCCTTTACACGCACATGAACTTTAATGGCATCCCAGTCTTAGTCCGTAGGATTCAGTATTGGGTTGGCTCCGCCCTTTGCAGCTATAACAGCTTCAACTCTTCTGGGAAGGCGTCTACAAGGTTTAGGAGTGTGTCTATGGGAATGTTGGACCATCTGTGAGGTCAGGTACTGATGTTGGAGGAGAAGGCCGGGCTCGCAGTCTCCGCTCTAATTCATCCCAAAGGTGTTCTATCGGGTTGAGGTCAGGACTCTGCAGGCCAGTCAAGTTCCTCCGCCCCAAACTCCCCCATCCATGTCTTTATGGACCTTGCTTTGTGCGCTGGTGCGCAGTCATGTTGGAACAGGAAGGAGCCGTCCCCAAACTCCTCCACACAAAGTAGGGAGCATGAAATTGTCCAAAATGTCTTGGTGTGCTGATACCTTAAGAGTCCCCATCACTGGAACTAAGGGGCGGAGCCCAACCTGTGAAAAACAGCCCCACACCATAATCCCCCCTCCCCCAAACATTACACTTGGCACAATGCAGTCAGGGAAGTACCGTTCTCCTGGCAACCGCCAAACCCAGACACGCCCATCGGATTGCCAGACAGAGAAGTGTGATTGGTCACTCCAGAGAACACGTCTCCCCTTCTCTAGAGTCCAGTGGCGGCACGCTTTACACCACGGCATCCCACGCTTTGCATTGCACTTGGTGATGTGCGGCTTGGATGCAGCTGCTCGGCCATGGAAACCCATTTCATGGAGCTCTCTACGCACTGTTGTTGTGCCAATCTGAAGGCCACACCAAGTTTGGAGGCCTGTAGGTATTAACCCTGCAGACAGTTGGCCACTTCTACGCACTGTGCGCTTCAGCATGCGCTGACCCCGCTCTGTCATGTTACGTGGCCTACCACTTCCTGGCTGAGTTGCTGTTGTTCCCAGTTGCTTCCACTTTGTTATAATACCGCTAACAGTTGACCGCAGAATATTTAGTAGCACCTGAATCCAATGATTTGGAGGGGCGTCCCAATACTTTTGCTGATATAGTGTATCTATGTAATTTAAACCGTAATGCTAACCATCAATGTAACCACTACCTTAACAATGACCCTCCATCAAACCCAAACGCTAACACTCATCATCCATGTAACCAACACTAATCATTCATCTAACCCCAAACTTAACACAACCCTCTATTGTAAATGTAACCCCTTGTTTGCATACTCACCTCTTCTACTCATAGTCTACAATTCAGCAGTAAGTGTTTAAATACTCAGTGACAGCAATGGCCATGCTATACTAGAGAAGGGAAGAAGGGAAAAGGGTGATCACATGATTACGGGGCCATAGAGAAACGGTTTGTGGAAAACTTTAGTGGGGTTTATTAAATTATAAATATGGTGAATACCCACTATTCCATGACAATGAGAACTTTCTTCTAATGCTATGGTGCTTGATCTCTTAATTTAATGATCAGATATTGAAGAGATCTCCATCTGCCTGGCAATGTTCAATTTAAATCTCTCACCATGTGTTGACACCAGCCAGCCTGCTGGTAGTTGCTACATCACCCTCGTACGCTGGGCCCTCTCCAGGAATGTGTGCCATGGGAATATATTGAGCAATATACTCCAGTGAAATAAAATGCACAGTTTAAAATAGGGAAAAATAACATTTATGTAGATAAATGGTTGTCTCAGACCTTGTCCATTGCTTGGCAGAGGGGCCAAACTTGCATATCTGCAGGATCAAGGATTTTCAATCTCACATACAAGAGTTTTGTTCTGATATAATCTATATGACTTGGTGTATTATAATGTCTTTCTTCTTGTTGGTATTGTTACAGCACTTCAGAGGGTGGACCTCCACGTAAGCTATGCCCCCGGCCCCCTGTTGGCCACAGATGCAGAACATGGCTACCTCGTGCAGTGGCGGGCACACCAGAGGCCACTTAGCATGAAGCGCACCCGCGTGCAGGAACTGAAGTACATTGCCAACGAGCTGGATAACATGGGAGGAGGAGACGATGGGCTGGTGATCGTTATAAACTGCTTGGCTCATTTTATCTTCTTTCCAGTCAATGTTTATTTGAAAAGAATGAGATTCATCCGTGATGCCGTGGCCCGACTACTGGAACGCAGTCCACAGACCTTGGTCATAATTAAGTCCGGGAACACGGGGTTCCTGTCTACCCATGGCAGTGACTGGCTATCCTGGCAGCTGGACACATTGATGAGGGAAGTGTTTTCAGGACTTCCAGTTACCATACTGGATGCCTGGCAGATGACCTCCTGCCACTACATGACAAAATCCATCCACCCCGGCAAGATCATCGTGCAGAACATGGTGGACTTAATGCTTTCCTTTATCTGTCCCACATAGCAGGCCAAAACTGTGATTGCTTCTGGTTAGATGGCTTTCAAAAAGAAGGCGAAAGTGGCATTTGTTTTGGTTCCACCAAAAGAGGAACCAACTACAGCAATGATCGGAAAGTCTAAGCATCAGATCTTGGCAGACACCTCACAGCTCTTGAAGGGCACCAATCAGCCTATTTTGATTTGTCAGAGAATATTTGATACAAATATATATGTCTGTGTTTCGATCACAAGCAGGACGGTCAGGGCAGCCATCAGAAATTTTAGGGCCCCCTACACAGCTTTAGGCCGGGCCCCCCCCCACCCCCGCCGCTGGACACAGGGCTTAGTGACGCGCTGGACACAGGACCCACCTGAGAGTGACCCTGCAGAGCCCACCATAGATGCTGCACAGCCCATCTGAGACTGTCTATGGTGGGCTCTGAAGGGCTCTCAGGTTGGCTGGTCAGGGCTACATCCCTCCCTCCTTTCCTTCCTAGCTCCTCTTACCTGCACACATGGCCTCGTCTGCCGCCGGACCGGCCAGAAGTGGCGTCACTTCCGGCCAGTTCGACATCAGACGAGCAGCGTCGCTGATGGGGCCCTAGCTTCTCTCAAAGCCACTGGAGCGGCAATGCCGGGGCCCTGCGCTGCTAGGGCCAGGCCTCCGCCTCCTCGCCCTTCACCGTCGGCCGATAGTCAGTTAAGGGACTCGGGCGGGCCCCCCAGGCTGCCCGGGCCCCTTACATGAGTATCTGCCGTACCCCCCTGATGGCTGCCCTGAGGACGGTCCTGTGGTTGGGTCACACATGACCATCTCATACCTCATATCTATCTTTGTTTTTTACATATTTAACTAGATTGAAAAAGGCCATGGAATCCAACTTTGCATATGTACTACAGTACAAACTGCAGTAGTTGCCCCCCTCTGGGGGCAACTGTGGCCAGTTTTCCAAAGCATAAAATTAAAGGCAGCTGGATCATTTCCCTGGACCAAATTATCTCTGTAATGTACTTTTGCATACATAAGTGTGAACACCATAAGCAGATCAGTCACCTTGTTTTTTCCCATTTAATTATTTACTTTTCTATAACTACCTCCTGCAGTACAGCATTTCACAGGTTAACCACTCTAAAAGTGCAGATCTGGGTCTAGAAAACTGGCTTAAAGGCCGTATTCAGAGAGTGGTGATCAATGATTCATACTCTGAATGGTCTAAAGATATTATTGGGATCCCCCAAGATTCAGTGTTGGGCCCCCTTACTGTTTAATCTTTTTTTTTTGCAAGTATATTTTGATTTTATTCAACAAAGATTAGTTACAGCAGATTTATCACATAGTCAGTATAATGATTACTACGATGAGAATTGACATAAAACAGAAGATTACAATCTGAAACTTGTACTTTGTATATTCCATTTGCAAGAGAACAATAACAAATGGAGCAATCAAGATATTGCAGAGCAATTAAAATTCGGCATGTTGATTGCCGCTGCATTCTTAACATATAGTATAGGAATATCTAATCAACAACATAATAGGTTAACAGAGTAACATGTGAACAGTGTGTGGTTGCCTGGAGGACTGAGACTGTAACAGTCATTGATTTGTTTGTGTAATTGTGAAATTAGTGGATAGGAACGGAATAAGATTGGTGTGGAAAGGGCTTGAGATGGGGGGGAGAAAATAATCAAATAGTGATATGTGGATGATGTGAGTTGCGTCTGATATGGGGGAATAAATCACAGCTACAAGAGTGCTTGGTAGAGAGCGCTGATCTAGTGCCTAAAGGAGTGTTCTCCAAACGAGTACTATCTCAGAGCATCAAGTTTGCCCAGAGAGCCCTCAGATGATGCTTGAAGGTACCATCTTGAGTTCTGGAAAAGTAGCATGATATCCTTCAATTGGTCCACAGTACATTCAGTTGTTAAAAATCGGGTCCATGTATGGAAACATTTTCCAGTGTTGGCAAAGTTATTTTTGGTATCTATTTTGTCGATTAGCATGAGGTGATGGAGTGTGCCTTTGATATCAGTCAATGAGGGAAGTTGAGGATTAAGCCAGTTATGTAGTATGTGCTTTTTGACAGCCAATAGGCAGTAGTGTTCCCATTGGGTTAATGCTTTTACTCTGCCTTGTTCAGAAGCGACTGGGGAGTGGAATAGGCATATTGCCGGGGAGACATCCCTAGACCTGTCTGAGAGTGCGTTCATATAATCAATCGCTGATTGTCAAAAATGTTGTACGTACGGGCAGTGCCAAAGTAGATGCGTCAAGTCGGGGCGTGGGACGTGGCATTTAGGAAAATCAGTGATCCAGGTGGCGTTGGCCGAGGCGGGGGTGAAATTTAGAGCATACTAAGCCCTGTGAATGATTTTAAACTGTAATTCCCTCCAATGCTCGTTGGTCACATGTTTGAGTAGATTCGAGCATCCCCTAAGTAAGAGCTGATATGTGTCCTCAGGTGTGAGTTGTAGTAAAGGGGCCCACTTGACCGCAAACCAGGGTGTCGAAGGTGATGACTCCCTGTGGATGGTGCTGTGCATCTGGGAGAGGGACATTTTAGTGGAGGGGGAATTGAACAGATGGATGAAAGACGTGGAAAGACCCCTGTCTCTTGAACTGGATGGAGGTAGGTGGGATTTCATAAAATGAGTCACATGGGCATATTGGAGAAAATGATTAGGGGGTATGTTGTATGCTTGTAAAAATTCTGCAAAAGTCAAATAATTCCCCTGGGGGTTTATAAAATTTTGCAAGGTTTCTATCCTTTTTTCTTTCCATTGATGGAATATTTGGGAGGTGGAGCCCACAGGAAAAAGAGGGGTAGAAATTAAGGGCAACCTTGGTGAGACTGTGCCTTGAAGACCATATATTTTCCTCACCTCTTTCCAGGTGACAATACTGTCACGTAGTAGAACGTTTTGTTTAATGTGGCCTGGTAGAGCGTGTCGGGGGTTGTGTACAACTCCCGAAGGCGACCAGGGGTGTACCAGATGTTGTTCAATAGGAGTGGTGGTATAGTGACCGGAGCCATTAAGCCAGTCTCTTACATGTCGCATAATGCATGCCAGATTATATAGACGTATATTTGGCATATTTGCCCCCAGAAGGGATCTCGGGAGTTGAAGTTTGGCCAACGCTATTCGAGGTTTTTTTCCGCGCCAAATAAATTTGGTGAAGGATTGATTAAGGAGTTGTATGTCCTTGTGTCTAAGGAGAAATGGAATAGATGAAGAGGGTAAAGGAGGCATGTAAACCTGACCATTCTGATCAGGTGGCACCGTCCTAGTGCTGTAAGAGGGAGATGTTGCCAGGAGTTAAGTTCTTGTACAATACGTTTTATAATGGGGGAGTAATTCAAGGTATACATTTCCGTTGCAGTTTTGGGTATAAGGATTCCTAGATATCGGATGGATTTGGATTGTATACGCATAGGGTAACTAGATAACCATGGAGGGTCACTCGTGAGCCGGGTGTGGGAAAGGTATAACAATTCACTTTTATCGATATTAATGCTAAGGCCCGAAAAGGTGTCAAAGTTCTTTATATGGTCAAGAATACGTGGTATTTGGGCGTCTGGATCAGAAAGGAAAAGAAGTATGTCGTCGGCAAACAGTATCGATTGGACATGGTGGGGTCCTATGCGGATGCCTGTGAATAGATCGGAAGAGGATAAGTTTTGTGCTAAGGGTTCTATGGCTAAGTTAAAAAGAAGAGGGGATAGGGGACATCCCTGGCGTGTGCCTCTATAAAGTTGAAAGGAGGCCGATAGAAAGGTGGAAGTGAATATTTATGCGTTTGGGGAAGAATAGAGAGTGGAGACAAAATCAAAAAACATTCCGGAAAAACCCATATGTTGCATAACCTTTCTGAGCCATGACCAGTTCACACTATCGAAGGCCTTCTCAGCGTCCAATGCCAAAAGGGCTAGTGTACGCTGAGAAGAGCCGGACAGCCGAGTATGTTCCATGGCAGCTATAGTCTTACGAATATTTACAGCAGATCTACCAGAAACAAATCCCGACTGTGCAGGCGAAATAATTTTAGGCAGAATGGTCGCTAGCCTGTTGGCCATAAGGTTCCGTTGGGATCGATATTGCCGTAGTATATAGTATTTGGGGTTGAATAAAGACATACGTCCATCAAGTCCAACCCATATAGTATCTCATTTCTATCAGCAAAGTCCAAATATCTCACTATCACCGGATTAGCCTGCTGGTTTGATCAAGGCTGCCCGATTCTATGCGCCCGTTCCACCCTGCATGGTGACTGGAGGCCTAGCGCTTTAGGGATGACGTGGGAGCAGAAGTGCTGGAGATCGGCTGGTGAAACAGATTCAGGTAGGGATATAATGCGGAGGTTATTTCTGAGGATACGATTTTCTAGGTCATCCACTTTGTCAAGCAGGTAGTGAATTTGTTTGTCAGACTCATCATGAGCATGCATGTGGTCTTCTATAGCGCTTATTCTTGATTCAGCTGCTGTGATGCGGTGTTCCTGTGTTTCTATCGCTAGGGTCAGATGGCTCATATGATGTTGCATTGAGTCCGCAATAATGGCTGTTAAATCCCGTTTTAAATGTGCAGCTACCGCCGCAGCTAAGCGCTGATACCGTGTTTCCCCGAAAATAAGACACTGTCTTATATTTTTTTTGCCCCCAAAAACCACAATAGGTCTTATTTTCAGGGGCTGTCTTATTTTTTTTTTAATGTGCAACAAAATGTACAACAATCCAAAGTTATCTGGTATCACTCCGCCTGTCACGGTAACTGGCGCTGTAGAGGAATATCGGCTAATGCGACTCTGCTCCCTCCGCCGCCGCAGCCTTGCTTTCTACAGCGCCGGCTTCCTTTGCTGTCAGGGACAGCAGTACCAGCGGTGCAGCAGTGGGGACATCAGACAGTGGACAGCGTAGTAAAGTACGGTACCATTTACCGGTACACATTACAGTACAATTACATTAAGCAGTGTCTTCAGGGGGACAGCAGTTGGTGAAGTCTGGAGCTGTCCCCTGTCATCCCCTT